CTAGAAAGGCTTTGCATCATATAAGAAAAATATCGAGACATATCGTGCACGACATTTCTGACAGTCTGCTATCCCTTTTCGATAGAGTTCACAAGAAATTAAAGAAAAAAAAGTCGAAATTACATAAAGTTATAGGCAAGTTAGAGGCCTTTTGCAATTATAATAAAAATTTGAGGTTTCCTGTATTAGAGGAAAATGCATATTTCAAGTGAATTGTAAACAACAACGTTACAATTGTTAAGTTAAATACAGTTAGTGCTCGAGGCATAACACGCTTGAATCTAACGGTATGACGATTGTTCCGTTTGCAGAATTGATGAGAAGGAGGATGAGAGCTTTCTGTTTTCAATTGATGTTAACTAGCAAGTACTAATTAAAGGCAAGATGTTAATGTAAAATAATCTATCTCAAGTCTCAGGAAAGAAAATCATTTCAATAATGCATATCCAAGATAAACTTGGTGATATAACATTCTAAGATATAATAAAATAACTCTTAATATAATAACTCTTAACGTTGTAGAATAATTTGATTTTGTCTTTTTCTTCCGTAGCTTTTTTCTGTAAAATTTCGTTGGACTATATTCATATATATTTTTGGAAATGTATTGGCAATTTTTTCTGCGTCAGCAGAAAATGTTATCTTCGTAAGACGTATTATGAAACTGATAGAGTTTCAAAACAATTTAAGGAATGGACATACCGGCGCATTCACTGGAATCAATGAGCAATAACCTTGCCATGGTGCGATATTTACTTTCGTTTTTCATAAGTTGGAATCGAAGTATTACGATAGTATAGCATCATTTCTCTTCTTTACGAATGTGCGTCACATTTTGCATCCTGATGCTGCGCAACAGCTATTCAGAATCGACATACATAGCCTGATAATAGATCGTTGCTATAGGCGTTACTTAATGATGAATCGTTCTTTTTTTTTGTCATACCTATTGTCGTTGGCATGTCGTGTAGAGATGCGCACAGGGTATAGCTTCCGCAAATGTTGTCCTACATTTTCTAAATCGGTGCCTCGCGATAGTAAATATGTAAAATCGCGACTTAAATATTAGTTAACATTACAATCTTTATCTCTCGTATCGATGAGTTTCATTTTTTATGACTATCGTGTATCGTGACCTTTGCAAACATTGTGTTTTATAGACAATACTTATTTAAAATTCAATCTATCATTTATGCATTATTAATGCAAAACAGATGAACAGCGCTTTTTATACTTATGTAATTTTTAAACTTTTCACGATTTTTCAACTTTAGTCTTATAACTTCAATTTATACAGTTATCTGTATAAATCAAACGATGACATAGAACACATAAAAATACATCGAGTTCCTGAGAACTGATCGTATGATCGTATTGTTGCAGCTCTTCACTCTTTTAATCGAATGAATGTGATTGATAATTTTATGTTCTCACAGAACATTTATGAGATCTGCATTGATAAAGATTGAAATAATGACATGATATAAGAATATGCGAAAATGTCGTAATTTGTTTATTCAAAAAATTTAACAAATATCCAAAAAGAATAAAATTTCGGAGATTCAAAAGATTAAAATTTCATTATCTTCATTAATTATCTTAACAAATGCAGCTAAAATAAATAACATTGTCCATATCAGAATTCGTTAAAAAAGACAATAATTTATTTGTATGCAGATTGTGTAATATCTTAAACTGTATGTCATCACAAATCTATCACACCTAAATCAATGTTACAAATACTTTTTATTCAAAAAAAAAAAAAAAAAAAAGAGCAAAGCATCGTAAATAAATTCATGTTTATTCTCACATGTCGACGTTTCAGCCTTTATCTAACAAAATATGAATATTTGCATACGCATAAAATTTACAAATGGAAATAATACTCCATTCGCATTAGTCTGATAAGTGACACACCTATTTTATGATTTTTATTGCGATTGATAACCTCAATAAGATAAACGATATCGCAAAAGTTCTCATGCAATCGGGAGCACGGGAAGCACTGCACGGTCCCTTCCTCGATTAAATCATCTTCAGATCCAAGTTATATCGACTATCAACCGGTATACGATTAAAAAAAAAAGAAGTAATGATATCAAAGAGAACTATGAGCTACTGAACATAAATACTGTTATTTATCAGATTTATCAATGCCGATTTCTCCATAACAACAATTTTATGTTTAGACTTTTATTATGTGCACAACACGGATTTATCAACCACAGTGTCATAATTTTTTATACAATTTTTTAAAACAAAAAATATACATATAAAAAATAATAAAATTGACTATACAAATTGATTATACAAATCATGTCAAAGAAATGAAATTTTAAAGCATAAGCAAAAATCAGCACGATCATAATTAAATTATCAAGATAATTTAGGAATAAACGATGTTAATGCATGACAAGTTCTCTGGCAAATGGATGATCCTTTTAATGATACAGTCATCTGCCGAAACATTTAGCCTTTAACTTCCTTCTTCAAAATGATTTTCGATAAAAAAAACTTTGAAGGCATGTAATCACATGTATACAAAATAGACTAAATAAAAATAGTTGATTTTGATGTTTGACGTAAAAATATTTTTTCAAACATTAGAATACAACATTGACGTCGCTTAACGATTTTTATGCGATTGCCAAAATGAAGAAATGAAAATCTCATTCTAATGCTCGCGGCAATGAGACTTGGAAGCAGGGGTGGAACTTGAATCCAATGACCTTTTGTCGAGCCTCCCTCGCCATGCGTTTTTTGTGCGGGTACCACACCACTTTTTCCAATTTGGCATCGATAATTATAATTTGATCCATCTCTATTAAATGTGCTGGATTAAAAAAGCCGACTCAAAAAAGCGTATCATAACAAACAGAGATAAATCGGATTTCGCACGTCAAATCATCGGCAGTTTATCGTAGTTTATCGCACGTCACCATGTTCGTCGCTCATCCACCATCTCACTCCATCCGTCGTCGCGCACAAATAAAAAATAACGACGTTTTTTCTTCGACGCAAAACTGGCGGTCGTGCGGCGCGAAGAGAGATGCTAAGCACACTCACCTGCAAATGAATGGGCACTTTCTTCACCGGAGTACTCATCTCGCAGATTTCGATTCCACGACACTCTCACGATATTTACTCTTCGGAGTATGTACAAGCCACTTGTTTTCGTTGGCGCGAAAACGTGTTCGCTTTACCTACGTGCGATTTTCCCAAATCGTTCTTCTCTCGTCTAAATTCCCGTCTTTACGAAAACGAAATGGAGAGAGACCTGGAAGGGCTGAGGGAGGGCTGAACGAAAGCGAAATTATGTAAGAAGAGCGCAGCGTACAAACTGCCACGAACGGTGCGCATCGACTAAACGCAACGGAACGAGATCGACGATTGACGCCGCGCGACGCGCGACGCTACCAGATGCTCGGAGCGCGCGCCTGCGCCACCATTTACACCATTTACACCCGAGGCACCCATGGCACTCGCGATGAGGGTAGGTGAGATATGGTACTCCCCTGCTTTAACTAATCGGAGCAAACTGTTGGTAAAACGCGCGAAAATTTCGATTTGTAAGAATAAAGCGTTCGATTCAAGGGATCCGTTTTATATATACGCATATACGCGTATATTATATGCGATATATCCGAACGATTTTTTTTTTTTCATCAATCTTGTTGTTGTTGACCAATCTTGCACGAATCACTTTTTTATAATTATGCAATGATATAATTTTAAAATTATATCGGAATCAATAATTATCACTGCTCCAAGTCCAGATTTCTTTTTTATTCTTGACATATGTATCGCTAAATAATGAAGCAGTTGTAGGCACCTTTTATTTCAATATTTAGTATTTTCAGTCTCAAACAAATGTAACACAAAAATAATAATAGCAAATTATATACAAATTTGATTGTGTACATATACTTTCTGATAAAATATATATATAAATGCTTCTCTCTCTCCCTCTCTCTCTACTTTTCGGCCTCCTTACTTTTGTAAATTATATTCTATAATAGTATACTTTTTCGCTTTTTCGCTTTACGGATAAATACAAAAAATCAATTAAAAAGCATCTTTTGGTTAATGGGATTGCGTTATTCTCGAAATTATATACATTTATAGACAATAAAGGCTCATAAGCAATCTTTAAGTAAGAGGAGATTCGGAATAAATAGTCATCGATAAGCAACCGTCGTGATCTTGTGCGGAGCAAGTCGCGGTTCAAACAAAGGCTTCCTGAATTCGAAAACTCCGCGTCTTCTACACATTTTAGTATTTAAAATACTTTATATAATACATAATATGCACGAATCTTGAGCCAGATTCACAAAAACAATATTTGCTCTACTTTAAAAAAAAATTAACAAACTTAATTTAGCAATTTACTTCGAGTAAATTTTTTGCAAAAAAATTTACAATGTAATCTTGTTACTCATTTATAGCCAATGTCGTATCTTAATATTTTACAATAGTCTTATTTTATATTACAATTCGTTACATTTTGTAACGCATTTCATTTACACAATTAAATTATATATCGATAAAGCTGATTTCGCGCGCGTTATTTTTATGTCAAAAATAAAGGTTTTTAATTATATATTTATAAAAAAGATATGTTTATTAAATATTGAATATATTGAAAATGGGCAGAAATATTCTAGGCATGTACGAGTCTTCTACCTTCTTCAAATTTTTTTGCCACCTAAACTATTTACAATCATATATATATATATATATATATATATATATATATATATATATATATATATATGTATATGCATATATGTATAACTTTCTTCTAGTCACCATGCGATAAAAAATTGTGGCGAAGAATATATGTACAGAAGCGTATTTCCTTTAGACTGAATATTTAGGACCACATTTCTTAATTGGTGTTAATCTCAGGCCTTTAGCCAGCATTTGAGCTTCGAGGTCGCGATCTTCGTTTTGATATCTAAAAGAGAAGTAAATGCATTCTATTAATTACAGAAATATTATGTTATTTGTTGAAACAATATATAATATGTCCGCATAACCTGTTTACTCAAAATCTTTATTATTTTTCAAAATTTCGATCTAACTTCAGTTAAAAGATGTTTGGATGCGAATAATGACTTTAAACATATAACGTATTTCATTAGTATTTCATTAGTATTTCATCTTCTAATATGTTTTAGTATGTTCATTCCTAATCATTACACGAAACTTTCCGCATCTTTTTTACTTAGAAAATTATAACTGTCTCAAAAATCTAAATTACAAAGATAATGGATAATAGCAATTATAAGCAAGTTATAGCGGTTATATGCAAACTCTATCTTTGCTAGTAGCATCCATAAAATATATATTTCGTTAAAAACGAAAATGATAAATTTTACTTCTGGCATTAGAAATAAGACATTTCTCGTAAGAATCAAGGTACTGTACCTACCAAATTGTCATGTCACTTGTCATACACACTCACACACATATCGTGAAAACATTTATTTAAAATAATAACTTATTCAGGTTTATGCAAATATAAATTTAGTTATTTGCTTTACAGTTTAATATGATGTTGATATGATGTTGAGAAAAGCATGCGCAAATTATCCAACAATATTATAAAATGTTTATAAAGTGTTTAAGAATTTTAGAGATTGAAAGATACTAATGATTCCTGATTACAATTAATAAGTATTTCTACTATATGGCCAGAAAAAATATAAACAGTTAAAATAAGTAACAATGTGAAAATATAAGATAAATACTCCAACTTGTGTGAGAAAATATTAAAGCTATGGCTATAACATGCATTTGTACATGTGGAAGTAATAGATGTCAAACACGATGATGTACACCACCTTTGTCGTTCTTCTTCTAACAGAGCGATTAGGGAATCCCTTTTTGCTACTATTTCCAACATTTCCGTTAAGATTTCTCCTTCCTTTTTAACATCGTCACTAGTTTTTTTATCGTCTGTAGAATTATATAATAATTTATAAAAAAAGTTTCTAAAAATTGTCTGCTGCTAATGATACATTAATATAATCATATCGATAAAATTTAAATATTATAAAAAAATTATATTTAAACAAACTAAAAAATTAAAAATATTTACCATCATCGGCCAAACGTTCACGTAATTCTTGTTGCAATCGTTCATGACGATCTTCTAATTGAACTTCTTGCGCACGAACGAGAAGTTCTTTTTCATATCTACGCAATTCCGTGCGTTCTTTCATGAGATCAAACCATTCTCTAAGTAAATCGGCTTCTTCACGATTGGAGGAATCTAAATCAAGTTATTTGATACCTCAGATTATACTTTTATGTACATATTTATTTTAATAATTAACATATATAACATTTTGTATTTGTAACATGATATAAAAATTATTGAAGATTGAATATTTATACAAATGAATTAAAATAAAGAGATTGGAAATTATCAAGTAATCAAACATACTTTTATTATTTAAGCAACAAAGATTAATTTGAAATATGAAATAATTAATAAAATTAAAAAAAAAATCAACATATATATGAAGAATATTACCTCCTTCACCACACAGAGCTTTTTCCACATTTACACCCCGGCTTTCTAATTCTTTTTGTTTTACTTCAGTTTCCTCTAATTTTCTTTGTATTTCTTGAGCCATCCGCAATCTTTAAAATATGTATCCAAC